TCTGCCCAGCGGGACTTCTAATGCCAGCATTCCAAGCACTGAAGAGTCAGAAAATGCAGCCACTTGGGCGGTGTACAGCACCTTGGGAAACATAGTCTCCGCTATTGCCCACTCATGTTCTTATCTGCTTGCCATTATTTCTAGACTTTGATCATAGACTTTAACTTTCAGAACCAGTTACTACTTACATTATTACTAAAACCAACAATAATCAAATGAGGAAGATTATATTTAATATGATAAAGAGTAAATATATTTATTTTGTCTTACAGATACAACCGGACCTTTGAGGTCAACCATAATGTCAATGCAGCCCAAGATGAAATTGAATTTGACACCTCTGCTCTAAGGCAAGAAGGTTCATAGGCTGTATCCTACTGCACTCTGTTGCTGCAAAAGTTTTCTGTCTGTATACAGGCGTTCAATATAGAAGGACTTTTCTGTTCTTTTCATAGATTATGTTAGGTGTTAGAGTGCTAACCCAGGAGCACAGGAAGCTGCTGCACGGATGTGCTACTTCTAGCCCTGTTTCAGATCCTTTGCCTTCTTCCTAGCATTTGAGGCCACAATTTTAGGTGCTTTAAATGATGATCATTTGATGTTCTGTATTCTAATGTTTGCTTTGGTTCCTTTGTTTTTAATTCTTTTTGCACCTTGCTTTGAGATACCATGTCAGATATAATTAGAAGTAAATGAATGGATTCGAGTTCCCAGCTATACAGCTCAGGTTAAAGTTCCCTAAAATTTTAAACATGAAAGAAAATCCCAAGAATGTTTTGAAGCAACATGAAAGCTAGTTATCAGTGTTGAAATATTCATGGTATTTGTCATGGCATTTTGGCAAACATTTTGTTGTAAATGGTATGAACAGCTCACTGCATGTAGTATTGTTATTGGCTTCGATGCCTCAGCATATCAGCTACACTGCTGTATCACTCTGTTTTTCATTGTGTTTCTGGTGTTAACACTTCAAGAATGCTGTACATGTACATTTGTTTCTTATGTAAACTCTCTGCTACACCATCTTGCATTTTTAAAACTTTCTTCTGCCTGCCACCAGTGTAGTGATATAGTTTTTTTTTCTGGACAAGAGGGCCTCTTTAATAATAGAGGACCCTGATTTTTGATGAAGCTTTTCCTTTTTAGAAAGATCACAAGCTTGCAGAGAATTGGGCTTTGGGGGGACATCATGGGGGAAAGGGTTAAAATGGGACTGGGAGTTACAGCTCAGTGGGTTGGCGTGTGGTGGCACACAAGCATTGATAATAACTTAATATAAAATATATCTGCCCCTTTGCAGCCATAGATGCTAATTGTTGCAAAACAAATCAAAACCCTCTTAAGCGTTTGTCTAATCCTACTGTACCATGACTGGCATGTCACATACATTCTCCCTGGGTAAATTCAATTAATCCAATTAATTAACTGGCACTTGCCTATTCTTCAGTGACATTCCGATTTTCTACCTGAGGCAAGAGAAAACCCAGTCTTGCTGTATAGTATGCTGCTGCAATTGTGTCATTTAGTAATTGTGATAAATAATTTGCTTATAAGTTGATTATTAAGTCTTATTGATATGTTTCAACTCTTTTGGTTTTGAAGAAGTGTCCCAGCCACCAGATTTTGTCCAGACTATGTTTTGCAATTCAGAAAGCCGCCATATTTGGCTTGGACTGATAACAAAGAGACACACTGTGTGCTTAAAGCACCACAACCACCACAACTAAGTAACAGGGTGATTAGTTGTCCCTAAATGCCAAGGAATGCCCAAGGAATATGATAACATTGTAACAAATACTTATGTTCATAATTTGCTAGATGCTAGATAGAATACAAAAGGAACAGAGGAAACGACCTCCTCCCAAAAGTTAAAGAAATGTATGGTTTTTTTATAATATGGTATAAAAGAAACAATAATTTTAACTTGACTGACTTCTAGGTCAGTATCAAGGACACGATAATCAGGACCCTTTTGGCTTTCTGCAAACACAAGGAAATGTTTTTGGTTGTTGAGTCTTCCTACCTACCTGTGAGCAAAATGTTCATTCCACTGAAGCTTCCTCATGAACAACAATGCAGCCAGGATTTTGCTTCAGGAGTTGCTCCTTCTTAATGGCACTCTGCTTTTTGGCCTTGGTGGAAACAGGGCTGGGCGCCTAAGGTCTTGTTATAATTAAGTTTTCTAAATCTCATTTCCTTTTTAGAGCAGAGAAAACATATTGTTGTGAGTAAGCTCCGGACGTGGTAACAAGTCCCTGGCAGGTGAGTTTGTTCTAACATAACTTTTAAGGAAACTTTTACCATCTCGCTTGTCCTTCCTCATGGGTTTTTATTGCAGTTTCAGCAAAGAGACAGTGGCTAATGCCAAAGGTAACACACATACGTTTTAATGAGTTGACACAAACTTCCTGGAGACAAGGAATAAATTAATTTGCTAAATATTTCACAACCATACCTAATGGGTTATTAAAGGGCAAGAGGATATGTTCATAACAATGTTTGTTCTCATTTTCTTTCACCATACAAAGTTGCAGAATGGTCAAAGTCAAGGTAAAACAGGCAAGATAGCTAACCAAGATACTGTCAGGGAACAGTTAATCAGAAGCATATGCTACAGGCCATGCCACTTACTAGATTACCTACCTATATAGGAAAGTCTAAGAGCTTGTTATTATACAAAAACTCTCTCCCTCCCTCCCTCCTCCTCTCCCTTGTTCTTAATGTTTCTGGGCATTTCCTTGAACTCGGTCAACCGCAATGATTCATTTTTAAGGAAAGCCACTCATTGAAATCAACGGGTACTTAATTTTATTTTAAGACAGTTGGTAAAGCATAGCCAAACACAACTACTCACTCTCAATATGAACTAATTACCTAAGAAGATTTCAGAATCTGTCAGAGAAGACTATATCCTGAAATTGTGTAAAATTAATGAAGTCAAATAAGCTCTTTCACAGGACCTGTCAGCTACTTTTCCAGTGCTTCAACCAACTACTACCTGTTCCTTCCTTCCTGTTGTCTGAAAACACCCTGTCTGTCAGAACAATGCAATTTCTGTTCTCACTTCGCATCCTACTATCCTAAGCTAAAATTTCCAGTAGGTGAGAACCTGTTTGCTCCCTCAAGACTATGAACCCCCCCCATACCAGCGGGGGCCAACCTTCAGTTTATAAACTGAAGACTCCTCCCAGATAATCTCTCTTTGGTCCCCCCACCCAAAATAATAAAAATGTGGCATCAATGTCTGCTCACACTGAGCATTTAAATGACCATGTTACATACACTGAGAAATTGCCATATGAATGGGTCTTCCCCAATACCCATTGCTTCAACATGCCAATCAGTTACTGACAATAGATCAGAACATGTGATCCATCCACTCAGACATTTTACCAGTCTAATTATGAAGCCTGTTCTTGGGGTCTTTTGGCCTCAATCTGTAAGGATTTTGCCATGCAATTATGTCTGATTAGGATCTTATGTTCTCAGACAGTGGTAGCGGAAAGTCATCCCCTACAGCCAAATCTGGTAAGGAGACCAGTGAAGAAGGTAAACTACAGAGTGAGTTGTTGCAGTTGTGTTTGGCAGTACTACAGATTGAACTGTACTTTCTGAAAATTGATCTTTTATGTTTTTTTAAAATTTAGATGTATCTTTTGTGATTGGCTTCTGCCATGTAGACCACTTAGGCCAACCATTCTGAATCCTTTTTTGGCAGTAGCCATAAACACAATATATTTTTAAAATATATTGACATTTTCATTTTCCCTCAGTTCTGCACTGCTGAGCCTGGCAGCCAAAACTACCACTGTCATTATCATTAAATCTCCCCCCACCCGCCAGGCTGGTACTTTCAAAATGTGGTGAACGTGGCTTATGGGAACTGTAGTCCAACACATCTGGAGGGTGCCACGTTGGGGACGTTTCTGCTAAAGACTCAATACATTGCAAAAGATTACCACTAAGTCTGTGACAAAGTTCCAAATATTCCAAATAGAGTAGACCTAGAACGAGCTGGAATTTTCAGCATATATATATATTACTGAAACAGCGACGTCTATGTTGGCTTGGACATGTCATGAGAATGGCTGACAGTTGGATACCAAAAGATCTTCTGTATGGAGAATTAGTGCAGGGAAAGAGCCCCAGAGGGAGACCATAGCTGCGATACAAGGATATCTATGACATGGGAAACCTTAATATCTGAGCGTTCAGCCTGGAGGCAGGCAGTGCATCATGGCCTCTCCCAATTTGAAAAGACCCTTGTTCAGCAGGCCGAGGCAAAGAGGCAGTCCTAAAATCAGCAAAATCGGGGAGCTGGACAGGGACAGATTGTATTTGTCTTCAGTGTGGAAGGGATTGTTACTCTTGTATTGGCCTTCTCAGCCACACTAGACACTGTTCCAAGACCTCTATTCAGAGCACGTTACCATAGTCTCTCGAGACTGAAGGATGCCTACACAAGTCTGAGAAGATTCTCAATCATCCAGGTGAGGTTATCTGAAAGTTGAGTCATGACAACTGGACTTCTTTCTCATTAGGTTGAAATGTTTCACTATGTATCCAAGTAGTTTCTTCAGTCTGAGGAGAGTTGGCGGAGATCCCTTATATATCTTCCACATTGGTTAGGACAGTGGGTGGAGAAGGACTGCAGAAGTGGAATTATCCCTCACCCCCAGTCCTTTGTCCTTCTAATGAGCCTATTCAGACCAGGGGGACGTGAAGCCAAGGTGGAGGATCTATCAGGGGTCTCCTATCAACTCTCCTGAGACTGAAGAAGCTACTTGGATGAGTAGGAAAACATTTCAACCTAATAAGAAAGAAGTCCAGTTGTCATGACTCAACTTCCAGATTACCACTAAGTATTTCTTATTGTCATTATGATGTCCAAGAAAAATACTAAGACAGCATCTTCCTCCTACATCCATTTACCTGTCCAAGCAGCATGTTAGAAAATAACATTTGGGGAACAAGGAGAAATATATGCAAATTCTACTCACCTAAACAATCCATGTTTAACATATCCATGACCGTTGTTAATAATTCTTCACTGCATCTTCCTCCCATTACAAAGCGCACTATTGGGCTTTTTACTCTTTCTGGAAGAAGGGTCATCAGGTATACAGGTATATATACAATGTAGCGAAGATAGCAAACCAATGGTGTCAAAATCTTTCCTTGCGGAGACTGGGCCATGCGCTCTATTGTAGGGAACAAATGCACACTGTGAAGAATCTGGGGGAAAAAACACATGCAAGGGGAAACTGTTAAGTGACATCCAACAGAAATAAATAATTGCATTCATCAAACTTCATATTATAGGAGTAGTTTTCTATCCTTTGTTGTGTAGTTCCTTGGAAATAAACAGAGACATATTAATAAAGACAACTGACAAGAGTAAGTCACAACTAAAGTGTTTTTATTCACCCTAATAAGTAGGGTGGTGCTGACAAGATCCAGTGGATCACATGGTATAGCTCTAAGGAAAACGTCCTTCTTCCACATGAATCATGTCTCAGGTGAAAAAGGTGAACTGCATATGATTTTTTTTACAACCCATGCCTGTGCCATCCCATAAAACAAAACATTACAATATCTGCTGAAAAAAATATACCTATAAAGTCAACTCACCTAGACAGATAGATATTCCTGTTTACAAAGATTGAGGTACAAAGGCTAGTATGCAGACACACTAAGGCCCTGGTCACATGAGAGAAATGTTCTCTAGTTATCGCCCAATGAGTTCGTTGCTTTTTCTTCTGGTGACACAACAGTCAAGATTGAGACATTTTCCCAGCCAGCGGTGTAACTGTGGAACATTTCCACGTTGTTATTAATGGCATAAAAAACCATTAATAACAATCACATATTAATACTTGGATTTGTACAGTTTTTGCTTATTGAGAACGGAATTTCAGTATTCAGTGGTTTGGGTCTATATGTAATTTGTAAGTATTTTACATTTAAAGCATATACATTATAATATGAATTACTATATGAATTTTGATCTGTCACCCATACATATATAATGCATTTTCAAAACAAATTTATCTCTCCTGGTGGTTTGGTTTTGGCAGCTGTAACAGCCTCCTTATTGTTTTGGTATGATTCACCTGCAGGAAAACATAGGATATGTGAAGAGGCAACTCAAGGTACAGGATAGGGGCCACTTGTCATCCCAACCTATCAGATGCGCACTCTGGTGTCTTGGTCATGAGCCATCTACGGGCTTGGGTGCAAACTACATTTGAAATTAGTTCTCTAGTAATTTTTTTAAAAACACTCTTATATTTTTCATTGAAAGTCAGATCTTCTGCATTTCCTTTGTTGCTGTCTGTGGCTAAGCCTTACAGAGACTGTAGTACTAAATAAGGAATCCCTTGCTCCTTATACACCTCAACAGTGTTCTGTAGTCCACATGTAAAGGAATGGATAAATGGAATCACATTTTATGGTGAGAAATATGATTGATTTTCCTTCAGAGAGGCTAACTGGTGAACAGTGTCCAGCTGCATTTTAAGTCCATCCTTCCTATATGCATCATTATAGCTGCATGGTAGTGTGGCTATATTATTGTGTAGCAGAGCAAATCAACATTTTCCAAGTGACCCGAAATGTCCCCAGATTTAAAATAGCTCATGCAAACTGAAAAGACCAATCTTATCCTGAAAGAGAATGGTGGGTCCCACCTGCTCTTAAAAAAAAAATTTGGAAGGAATCCAGGCTGTAGGGGCTGAAATACTGATCCTCAAAAATGGCCTTTTAAAAAGAGGAAAAACAACCACTTTGTTATAAGACTGAGTGTGTATGGAACAGGCTTATCAACAGACAGGTTTTCTTTGAAGAGAAAAAATGTCAAGCTTAGCTTTAAAGAAAGTTATGGAGTGACAGGCCTCTATAAAGGGCCATTTTGCTATGTATCTCCAGGGAATTAGCATACAAGTTTTAAAGGCATACTCAAAGTATTCCTGCATTACCAAAGCACAAAACAGTGGTGTTTTTTCCAGGACTGAGTGACTTCAAGAAACATTATCTCAGGATTTCTGAAACCAAGCTCCTGACACAAGTCTTCAAAGGGGAAGTCAGCTTCAGTTCTGAGGCAATCTGAACTCTTGATCCTCTCAGCTAGAACCCAATTAGCTGACTCTCGAGAAAAGAACTGTTGTTGAGCATGTTCTTTAATGCTGGCAAAGGGAGTCTGTGTCTGGGTGTAAAAATATTTTTTAAAGCTATTAAATAAAAAATAGAGAACAAATCTTCAGAAGCTGTAAAATTGCTGGTTTTGACTTTGTGGCTGCGGGTGGTCTTATGAGATGTTAGCAGAGCTTTGGTGCCTACATTCTGTCATATTTCAACCATTCCACATGTCTTGTCATTATACAATTGTTCGATAATTAAGAAAAAAAAATCCAAAGATGCTATGGGCCATCAAGTGGTTTCTGATGTGACTATATGAGTTAATGACCTCCAAAATGTCCTGTCATTAACACCTCTGCTCAGATCTTGCACACCTCTCTTTCTACTGCCCTTACTTCCATTTTCCCAGCAATATTGGATTGTTGTTTTTTTGTCAGTTCTATATTTTCATGATATATTCATAGTAGCATAGGTTGAGTTGACTCATTTTTGTTCAAGTGAGAGTTCAGCCTTGCCTTGACTGAGAACCCACTTTCCTGCCTTTCTGGCTGTCTGTAGTATCAGTAAGGCTCTCCTCCAACACATTTCAAATGAGTTGATTTTTATCCCCGTCTTTCTTCATTGTCTTTCTTTCACATAGTATGGATGATTTTGACCTTGATTTCCAGTGATACTCATTGCTAACTTCCAGCTCTCCCTTTTCTTATTTCAAAAGGTGAGGGGGACATCTGTGGGAAACTTCTGCCTAAAGGATGTTAGCTGCATTCTGTTCCTATGACATGTACACACTCCTGGCAGAGGCAGCAGCTACCAGCGGGCGGGGAAAGCCCCCGTTCTGCCCTTTCGCTTAGAGGTAGTGCATAGGATCAAAGAGTTATTTTAACCAGTCCTAGTGGTGATTAGGTAACTAGTATCCTATCTGACTTCTCACAATATACCATGTAACTCTTGCTGAGTTAATAAAAAGAGTTCTCAGGGCGTTGCCTTGAGGCTCCGCTGGCTCGGACATCTGTTGTCGACTCCTCTTTGTACTTTCTCTAAAGGCTAATTGTTCTGTGATCACCCACAGACATCTTTTGGAAAACATGTACACAACATGTTCATAGAGATTTTGGTCCAATATAGTTTTTCTATCTCAAGTTGCTTACCCCTGAGTAAAGGTTTGCTCATTACCATTCTCATTTGTCAAAAAACAGCCCTAACAATTGTTTTGTGTTTGGGTGAGAAGTGAAAAAAGGAGCCAGCTTCTGAGATTTCCCATTGCTTGGTATCGCTATGTGAATATTAGTGAACACAAGAGGGGATCCTGTAGACTATCCTGACTGCTGCTATTGGTGCTGTCAAGATTTGAGGTGCCCTTTGCTATGTAAAGCTTGCTGTTCTTTTTCCTGCTGGCAATGTGGGCAACAATATTGTGCACCATGTTGGGCCTTTTCCTGGCATTTTGAATCATGGATAGAGAAGCACAATATCCCACATTCAGAAACCAGTGTTTGTGTTTTTTTAATTTTAAAAAATTGAATTACTCTGAAAGCATGTTGTTATATTCCAATTGCATTTTCCTACCTATTACATAGTCTCTCAGACAGAATTTTATATCCTTTTTTGTCAACCTTGCCTCAAATGTTGATTTCAGAAAACAACACTGACTTTTGGACCTCAAATTATCTGAGTTCACTGACAAAATGTAACCCTACATGGTCAGGAACTGGAAATGGCTGAGAAAAAGCTTGTTGTCTAATACAATGTCAGTGTCGGTACCAGTGATGGTTGAGGTTCACTTCCCCTCCTGAAGAGGAAATTCCTTTGGCACTCATTTGTTTTTGTGGAATAATCTGTTTTTCATTATTTCTGGGGTGTGCACAAACAATTAATGAAATCATTATCAGCCAAAAAGAATGCATTATTTGCATACCATACCATGTGTGTAACCTGCAGGTTCCAGTAAACCTCAGACTCTGATCAGATCAGCTGGCAGAAACAGGAAACAAGCTATTATTTTTCTAACTGAACCGCTGCAAAGGCCCTTAGGAAACACAGCTCCATACCAAGTACAGTTCTGCAGAGCACTGACCCATATTTTTAAAAAATCAAGTAGTTAATGTGAAGGTGTAATGTAACATCAGAGAGCTAAGAGGAAACAGGAATGTATGTTTCTAATAATAGTAATGCATCATCAAGTCAATTCTCATTTATGACAGTACCTTCCATGGTTTTTTAGGTAGAGAATACTCGGAAGAAATTTACCCATTTCTTCTTCTGGGAGAACTCTGGATCTGTGTAGGTTGCCCAAGGCCATACTGGCTGGCTTCTCTCCTAGTATGTGCAGCAGGGGATCGAACTCCCAACCTCTGATACCTAACTCGCTGAACTATCCAGCCAGCAGGAGTGTTCATAAGCACTCAGAAAAGAGAATTATTTATTGCCTGTTCTTTGAAGGCAACTATGGAAAAAAAAAAGGTTGTTTCTGTTGATTGATATATTCTATTCACCTCATGTTTATCAGCCAATATGGCAGAGAGAAAAATCTTATTTTCTGCCACAGTTTTAAAGGATCATGGCAACACATTTAAAGCTAGATCATGGCCCACTTGTGACTCCAAGTGTCATCTTTTTACCCACA